TAACCATAATTATGCAGCTTCAGCTCAGCTCAACAGGTTGAAAAGCAGGTCCTGCCTGTGTTTCACTGTCAGGGCTCCCCGTAACTTCTGTGAGCCAGAATATCCAGCCTGCTAAGCTGCCGGCTAGCTGAAAGCCTAAAGTCATTCTCTATGCCTGAGAAATATAAAGGCAAACGCTCTCAGGGCAAGGCTTCAACATGGTTTCTTATCTGGCCATTTACCTACATTAACCATTAGATTCTTGGGAAGCCTATGCTATTCATACAACTTTCTGCCCCCAAGGGTGTATTGGTTTACAAGGCCAGAAGTCTCTTCTAATGAACCTGGAGAATATATACATCCTTTTAGACATAAAGATTACTAATCCAATACACTAAAGTTTCTCATTAATTTCCCTGCTGTGAGAAATACTTATCTTTGAATAGCTTGAATAGCTAAGCGTTGTGCTTGCTACAAGTCTTTTCTTTTAAAATATAAATTTATCATTGTCTGGAAGGGCCTGACTCCAGGGTCTGTTTGGCTGACCATTAAACATACGTATGTCAGATGCTAATTCTCAGTGATTACTTGTCTCAAGTGTGAATAGGGGAGGGACACAAGTTAATTATTGCCCTACTAATAGTCTTGGCCAAAATATGAAATCCAGTAATTATATTCATATCATATATGACCATTCATACAGACATAATAATGATAAAGTTAAAAACATCTTGATGCTGCTACCTATACATCTGATACCAAATATGCCACATCAATAAAATTAATTCCATGAACAGTATTGTGGGTTTGTGATGAGGTGTATGAATGTTTAGGTCAGTAGCTAAAGAAATGCAGTGGTATGGTTATACACATCAGCTTTTCTTACAGTGGAGGCCGTTGTAATAATTCCAGTGAAGTTATATGGGGATACTGGGCGTGTCTACACAAGACAATACAGTGACGTAGCATCAGCGGGCACAAACTTTGACACTACTGCTACATTACCATATGATGAGCTACCTCATTATAGCATGTCGCTACAGCAACAAAGCATCTAAAAATAACAGTGCACCGCCTAAAGCAAGTATTAAATGATGGCGTAGTAACAACTGTGCCCTGGGGGGCACGTGTAGACATGCCCACTGTGAATTAAAAAGTTGCCTGACACTTGTATTCTGGTTTCTTCTCTCCCCCTATACTTACTTATGTTAAGAGGTATGTGGTAAATTACTATATCTTGATTTAAGTTTATCCTAAATTAAAAGGTATTTTGAACCAAGGGTTCTAGATCTGTGTACTTTTTGTTGTTCTTTAATATTGTGATGACTATCTTTTTGCATTGTTTTTATGGGGTTGTTTTTAACCAAGTACAAACAAGTCTTCTAAATCCAATCCTGTTCAGAAATGACCTGTTTGTGGGTCTTGTCCCTAGATATCATGTAAACTTCAGTAAATCCTGAAAACCAATGATGATAAAGCTATATTTTTTCTCAGATTGAGACTCTAGAACATGATCTTCAAGCAGCATTGGATGAGTTACAGGATGTAAAAGAAGAACGCTCCTTTTACCAGGATAAAGCAGACCGACTAAACCAGGAACTTAATCATGTCCTAGGAGGACATGAAAACCGTATCATTGATGTGGATGCTCTGTGTATGGAGAACCGGTGAGTGCACTCTTTTTAAATGTGCAGCAGATTGTTTAAACTGGTGTGTGCATCATGTGCTCAGTTGCAGCAAAACTTTACAAAAAATGTTTCAAATAATGAACCTTGAGAAATTTGGACCTTTGGTATTTTGTTTGTTTTAATCACTGTTCTGTTGTTTTAAAGATTTATTCCTTCTCAAGATAATACTGTTTCATGATGGAGAATTACAAGCTTCAGGGAACTATTTGGGTTTCACTTGACTACAGTGATGTTTTGCCATGTGTTTGAATGGGGGTGGGGAAGAAGAGTGGTGCAGGCTGCATTGTTTTGAGTCTGTTTGTGGCACAGCATCAAAGGCAGACTCAGAAGTCAGCATCTTTGTACCATTCAAACATCATGTGGTGAATGCCATGACCAAATAGAGACTTCATTTGTAAAGAAGGGGCCCAAGCACCCTAAAGGAACTCTTTTTGACCAAAGTTTAACTGTAATAAGGGCTTATATGCACCAACAAGTTTTCCATTGTAGTTATGTGGATAAATTTCCCTGTATAGGCAAGCTCTAATTATATGTGACTACTTTGGGAAAGAGAAATTTAATTTCAATATGATCCATGCCCTCTCCTAAGATAACAAGGTTTAGTCACTATTAATGTAAGTAGTTATGGTTTTGGTAATTATCGAACACATGCAAATAATTTAGAAAACAGAAATAGGTTTACAAACATCATTTGCTCCTTTCAACATCACTCTGAGGTAGAGAAATGTGACCCAGGATACTGCCTTGTGCTCATCAGCTCCAGAATTGCTACCTTTTATTTGGCCTCATCTGTGTAGTTCTTCATTGATTTAATAGTGTCAGTTTGTTTTATGATAATTTCAGTTTTAACTGAAATAGTTAATCTGGTGCAGAGCCTAGTGTGGGCACAGTTCTAAGAGTATAAAGATGTGTTGTACTGGTATAGTTTATTCTCCTTTCCACATGGGGAGAGTTGTCTGGGGTAACCGCATCTTTATACCTATATAACTGCATCTGCATGAACAGGGGAACAGTTGCACCCCTTTAATTATAGCCACAAACAGGCATTCATTTTTAGTGTTGGAAATTTCTGAGAAATTTCTGCCACTAGAGATGTTTCCAGGAGAGGGAGCAGTGCAGGTATTCAGCCTGCAGCCACCCTCTCTCCTCTGTTGCTTGTGCTTTTCCAAGACCTCAGTGATCCTAATATGGGGAAAGCGTGGGGAGCAGTGGTTGCTCTGTTTTCTCCATAGAGGGGTGGAGGGTCAAGGAAAGACTTCCTGTGATTCCCAAGATTCCCTGTGATTCTAGACTGGACTCAGGGGAGTGGAGCAGTAGGACAAAGCCCCCTATTTGTGCTGGGAAGTGTGGGGCAGCTGCTTCAGTTCCTTCCCAGGCTAGTCCAGGACAGGGCTGGAGCAATGCCCCTGACCAGGCAGTCCGCAGTCTGAAGAAGCCAAGGGAACAATTCTCTACTGCTGCACTCTAGTCCCAGACCAGACCAGACCAGAAGGGGAGCATACAGGTATTCATTCTTGTGAGTGAGCTTCTCCCATAAGGGACCCCTGGAAGATCTTTCTCCTGGGGAAGGGCATGTTTTCCCTGGGAGAAATTGAACAAATGCTTGTACATTCATAGCTTCTACCACCTGCATGTGGCCTTTACCCGCTTTAAACAAATATGGCTAAAATTTTACACTTTAGTGAAAACCCAGGCAGAATAAGAGTGTATGATTGATCATTATAAAATGATGCAAAAATTGCATAGGCAAGTTCTGTGCTAATATTTATTGAAATATAATCTTCCAGATGCCTGTACCACAAATTTAAAATAGAGGATACCAATAAACATTTCCTGTTTTATGATGGATAGTCCCAGGCACCTTCAGTCCACCTACCCATGAGCTTAGAGGCAAGAAATGAGATTTGTAGATCATCCATAAGATTTAACACATCCAAGCGTGGAAGACCAGAGGGCATTAAGGAGCTCTAAAGTAGAGATCCCATTACACAGAACATTCTGGCAGCAGCTCGCAGTCTTGTGCAGAATGGTGAACTCATGGCCAGTGCTTAAAAATAATAGAGGAAACAGTATTACATGACTGTAATGTAATATTATCTGCCATACTTTTCCAGATACCTCCAAGAGAGATTAAAGCAACTTCAAGAAGAGGTCAATCTTCTTAAGTCTAACATTGCTAAGTACAAGGTAAAGTTGCTAAGTGTAGTTCTATGGTTGGTTGCTCTCTTTATTTAGGTTATTTTTTGTGCTCTTCAAAAGTATATTACAACCTTTATTATAAAATATTAAAAACAAAAGGTAAACATGCAAAAGTGAGTGCCTCCCCACCCCCCGGGGCAGAGCATAAAACATTTGTCAGTAATGAAAACACTTATACCACCAGAGATTGAAATCCCCTCCCCTCCAACACCTTTTATGGGGTTACACATTTAAGACTAGCTGTCTGTCTTCCACCCTGCAGAGTTCCCCCTCACTGGCCCAGCACAGCACAAATTAGTCCACATTTTGTTGCAAGATAAAGAGTCCAAACTCAGATGTGATGTGCCTGGACCAAGAAGCGGAACAGTTGGAGGGTGTCATTGGAGCTGGGCCCTGCATGCTGTTTTTTTTGGCTTTTCAGGGTCACCATCTTGGCCTGGCCAAGCAGGAAATTGGCCAGGCAGACCATGCTCCCTTCAGCTGCCCAGTAGTGGATAGAGAAAATGTAAGAAGTCTCAAAGAAGTCCAAGTCCAGCATACTGAAGGGGGTGCTGGGGGAAGCAGAGTGGCAACAGTTGGAAGGCAGCCCAGGAAGATGTGAAAGAGAACCTTCTCCACCTCCTTCTTGCAGAAAGGGCAAGCTGGTGATGTTGCTGAGTTTAAGTGGTGACCATGTAGCAGCCACCACTGGATGACACCATTTTTCTCAGTGATGGGTAGCTTGTACGGGGTGCACCAGGCCAAGCAGGCTTGTTCTAATGTTGTTTCCACTAGGCGCCACTTCTGGATCATGTCAGGGCAGCTGGTGAAGACATGGGCATGACTCACTTTGACTGTCCATGTGTGCAACATAGAACCACAAAGTAGATCCCATGACTGTTCTTGTTCAACTTGAGGAGGGAGCAGGGTACCAGAAGTTTCACACAGCCGCAGCTGGAGAAATTGGTGGGAATGGGGGTGGTCTGCCTAGCAAGCTGCCTTCTGGGAGGGCTTTTGTAGATTTCATAGACATTTGGGCTGAAAGGGACCCCAGAGGATCACTGAGTCCAGCCCCCTGCCCCAGGGGCAGGAAGTCAGCAGGGATCATAGGATCCCAGCAAGATAAGCATCCAAATGTGTCTTGAAGGCATTCAAAGCAGGTGCTTAAACCGCCTCTGGCGGCAGTCTATTCCAAACCTTCAGGGCTCAAACAGTGAAGAAGTTCTTTCTTATGTCCAGCCTGAATCAGTCACGGCGGAGTTTGTGACCATTCAGCCTCCTTGCCAAGAACTTGCCAGTTCTTTGCTAGATAAGCTCGTGGACCTAGAAAAATGTCCAGGTCTTAGGTACCATCAAAGCACCAGGATAGGCCTCCAGACAGATCTGGAGGCTGAGCATCAGCCCAGGTGCCCAACAGAAAAGTGTCACTTTTGGCACACTTGATGTGGGCCAAGTAGGCATGCTCATAGGCCTGCTGACAATGGATCAGGGACTAGACATCAACCTCACTGCTCATAAAAACAGTCACATCATTGGTTTCTGCTGTCACCTTAACTGTGGGGGCCAATGTCTGGGGCTGCAGCTGACAGAAGGAGCAAGTGCTGCCACAGTGCCTGGAGCAGTGGCTCAGTGGTTAAGGCACAGAGCATTCCAGAGAGGGAGCAGTCCTGGCAAATGACCCCGCATGCTGGGAACAGGACACATACTGCTCTGTTCATCTTCAGAAGGCTAGAGTTTCCCCAGTACAAGACCTGAGACAATTAAATGATGAAGAGAGACCAAAAGCCAAAGGCTTCTGGAGTAGGGAATAAGAAGCCCTAGTTGACCAAATAAAAGTTTTTTTTCCTTGATCCAGGGAGACAAGACTACTATTTAGGCTGAAGAGTTCCATGGCTTACAAGTCACGTAGTAGAAATGGGTTGTCCTGGATGTTCTGCTGGGTACAAAGTAGCTGTGTTCACGGTCTACAAATGAGGCCATGATCACTGTGAGTCAAGTGGCCAGGAATTTGGTCAGGATTTTTCAGTGAGTGTACAGGAGTGATACCTATTATCGGTTTTTAATGTCACTGAGATCCCCTTTCTTGAACAAGAGCAGAAGGACTGCTATAGACCACCAGGCCAGGAGGAAGCAGTGGATGAGGCTTTCTTCAAACAGCTAGCGCAAGTTTCCCAATCACAGGCCCTGGTTTTCACGAGGAACTTCAATCACGCTGACATGTGCTAGGAGGGCAATACAGCAGTATGCAGGCAATCCAGGAAGTTTTTGGAAAGTGTTGGGGACAACTTCCTGGTGCAAGTGCTGGAGCAGCCCACTAGGAGCCATGCTCTTCTTGACCTGCTGCTCACAAACAGGGAAGAAGAATTGGTGGGGAATGTACTAGTAGATGGCAACTTGGACAGCAGTGACCGTGTGATGATTGAGTTCAGGATCCTGAGGAAAGGAGGATGGAGAGCAGCAGGATAAGGATCCTGGACTTCAGAAGAGCAGAATTCCAACTCGTTCAGAGAACTCATGGGCACGATCCCCTGGGAAGCCAGTCTGAGGGAGAGAGGAGTCCAGGAGAGCTGGCTGTACTTTAAAGAAGCCTTACTGAGAGTGCAGGAGCAAATTATTCCAGGAAGACTAGCAAGAGTGGCAGAAGACCAGCTTGGCTTAGTAGGGAACTCTTCAGTAAACTTAATCACAAAAAGGAAGCTTATAAGAAGTGGAAACTTGGACAAACAACTAGGGAGGAGTATAAGCATATTGCTTGGACATGCAGGAATGAAGTCAGGAAGGCCAAAGCACAATTGGAGTTGCAGCTAGCAAGGAATGTGAAGGGGAACAAGAAGGGTTTGTACAAGTATGTCAGTAAGAAGAGAAAGATGAGGGAAAGTTGGTCTCTTACTGAATGGTGGAGGCAACCTAGTGACAGAGGATGCTGAAAAGGCTGAAGCACTCAGTGCCCTTTTCACTTCAGTCTTCATAGGCAAGGTCAGCTCCCACACTACTGCATCTGGCAGCACAGTTTGGGGAGGAGGTGAGCAGCCAGCAGTGATGAAAGAACAGGTTAGGGACTATTTAGAAAACCTGGACTTACTCAAGTCCATGGGGCTGGAGAGGATGCACCCCAGCCAGCCTCACCTCAGTGCCTAGAAAAATCATGGAACAGATCCTCAAGGAATCCATTTCAAAGCACTTGGAGGACGAAAATGTGATCAGGAACAGTCAGCATGGATTCACCAAGGGCAAGTCATGCCTGATCAGCCTGATTGCCTTCTATGAAAATATTGGACATAAGGAAGAAATTCTTTACAGTAAGGGTTGCCAAAACATGGAACGGGCTTCCAAGGGTGCTTTCCCCTACTTTGGAGGTGTTCAAGAAGAGATTAGACAGGCATCTGGCTGGGGTTACTTAACCCCAGCACTCTTTCCCGCCTGGAGCAGGGGGTGGGACCCAATGATCTACCAGGTCCCTTCCAACCCTTGAAATCTATGAAATCTATGATGAGATGACTGGCTCTGTGGATTTGGGGTGACCAGTAGATGATGTTGTGTACCTTGATTTTATCAAGACTTCTGATACAGTCTCCCACAACATTCTTGCAGGCAAGCTAAGGAAGTATGAATTGAATGAATGGACCGTAAGGTGGATAGAAAACTGGCTGGAGCATCGGGCTCAGAGGGGAGTAATCGATGGCTCGATGTTTAGTTCGTATCTAGTGGAATGCCTCAGGGGTCGGTCCTGGGGCCAGTTTTGTTCAGTGTCTTCATCAACGACCTGGAAGATGGCATACAATGCACCTGCAGCAAGTCTGCAGATGACACCATACTGGGGAGAGTAGTAGTTATGCTGGAGGGTAGGGTTAGGATTCATAGAGACCTAGACAAATTGGAGGATTGGGCCAAAAGAAATCTGATGAGGTTTGACAAGGACAAGTGCAAAGTCCTGCACTTTGGATGAAACAGTCCCATGCACTGATGCAGGCTGGGGCTGACTGGCTGGGCAGCAGCTCTGCAGAAAAGCACCTTGGGGTTACCATGGACAATAAGCTGAATATGAGCCAACACTGCCCTTGTTGCCAAGAAGCTAATGAGATACTGGGCTGCTTTGGTAGGAGTGTTGCCAGCAGATCAAAGAAATAGCTTATTCTCCTCTATTCAGCACTGGTGAGGCCACACCTGGAGTGCTGTGTTCAGTTTTGGGCCCCCCACTATAGAAAGGGTGTGGATAAATTGGAGAGAGTCCAGCGGAGACCATCAAAAATGGTGACGGGACTGGGACACGTGACTTCTGAGGAGAGGCTGAGGGAACTGGGCTTATTTAGTCTAGAGGAGAGAAGACTGAGAGGGGATTTAATAGCAGTCTTCAACTACCTGAAGCAGGGTTCGAAAGAGGATGGATCTAGACTGTTCTCAGTCTTGACAGTTGACAGAACAAGGAGCAATTCTCAAGGCACAGCAAGGGAAGTTAAGGTTAGGTATTAGGAAGAATTTTCCCAATAGGAAAGTAGTAAAACACCCAGAGAGGTTGTGGACTCTCTATACTTGGAGGTTTTTAGGACCCGACTAGACAAAGCTTTTGCTGGGATGATCTAGTGGGGATGGTCCTGCTTTGAGCAGGAGGTTGGACTAGATGACCTCCGGAGCTCCCTTCCAGCCCTAATTTTCTATCATTTTATGACTTGCCAGAAGCTGTTTGGAAGGATCCCATCTTACGGAAGGCTAACATTTAAATAATAATAGGGTGATTGGCTGTGAGTCAAGTCAGAGAAGTCCATTTCACGCCAGGCTAGGCTGTGTCCTAGGCATTCTGAGGGTGTACTGCAGTTGTAGCAAAGTAAAAGCATTCAGTGTTCATGATGTAGAGCCAATCCAGGTGAGCTGTGGAGAGCCCACTGGTGCTCACCTTCTCCCAGACATACTACCTTGTGCTAGGATGGAAATGCTGTTACATATTGGATAGGCTTACCACCTGTAAAGATTGTTTTGCCCTTATCGAGCAGAAGGTGGATGGAGGCTCTGGTCCATTCTTATCAAGCTTTTCCTGGAGAGTGCAGCTAAAATCCTCCCTAGGATAAGGAGATCATTGCTGTCAGCTGCAGTTTTTAAGAGGTCAGCCAATGTCCTGAATAAGTGCAGCCTCTCCTGCACATTGGGTTTGGGTATTCATTAGAATGAGGTGGTACTGCTCCAAAGTCACTCATACCATTAGGAGACAACTGGGGATGATCTCCTTGGCAACCACTGAAACTGATCTCAGTTTTTGCAAGAGAAGGTTGGTAGTGCATGTAGTGGAGCTGGTGCCATGGCTGAGGAGCATTCTTCCTTTCCAGGTGGTGTGCCAGTCTGCCTTGTTGGTCCAATCCACACTCATCTCTTGCAACAACATGAAGTCTAACCATTTTTGGTTCAGGAACTCAGTGAACTACTTTCTTTCCCAGATACCTGCATCTGGTTATGTTTGAGTGAGCTAAGAGTAATGGTCAGCGGTGTGAGAGGTTTTGAGAAGCAAAGTAGCAAAGGCAGAGAGGAAAGATGGAGAAGGAAGGAAGGGCTGTGTCATGCAGGATAGCTCAGAACATTGCCTTTAGCAGTCAAGGGGCTTGGGTTTTTTTTGTTTTTTATTTTACTACATATTGCTCTTTGGGGTTGCTTTCTTGGTTTTCTTTTTGGTTTTCTCTTTAATGCATTCTGTTAACTTTTTTGCATCTGTATGCATAATATTTTGTTGTCTCCTTGGCTAGCAGTTTCTTTGTCAAACTATGAGCCAAGACTAGGAAACATTTATGGTCAGGAACCATTTACTCAGGTATTTGGTTCTTGACTTTCTAGCATCCCTTGGTCTCATCAAGGAATCTAATAATGTTTTCAAGGGAGTAACTTTTCCTTGAGGTTGAGATGAAGCATCTGATGTCTGGTGATTCTCTTGCCAGGGACCGGCATCCCTCACTAAGAGATTATCAAATGATGATGTTTGGTTTATCTCTTTGAGGTTGGAGGGGGGTGCTGTTGAACACGTCAAGAACCAGAGCCTATGGGTTAACCTTTCTCCTCATGTTTAGACTATGAATCAGTGTTCAGTTTAGAGCAGGAAGGGGCTGAGGCCTTGGGAAGGGGTAGGGACTGAAGCTTGTGGGGAGTCACTTCCCCACTGGGGGCATCAGGATCATTCCCTTCTCTCTTGGTGGGTTCTCTGATGTTCCTGTCAACCCCAGCTCTCTTAACAGCCATACTTTCCTGGGTTGAAGCTTTTGAGTCTCAGCTTTGCTTCCAGTCTGTACACTTGGGAGCTAGGTTGGAGGAGTTCATCTCCTCAGCATCAGCTAGCTCAGGGGAAAGCTCTTGGGACAGTTTTGAACTGGCTGTGGCGATTTTTCCCTGCTCTTGGGGTTTGGCTCCAGGAGTAGGAGTAAGGTTTTCTTCTGAATGCATTGGGTGGGTTGGATGAGAGTCTGGCTTCTTTGTGCCAGTAGTCCTGGAAGAGGCAAGAGTGCATTGGGTGCAGGTTCGGTTCCTCTGTTCTGTTTTTTGCCTGGATTGGAGTAGGGTTGTCCTCCCCCTCATGTCTGGGCTGTCCTTGCTGCAGTCTGCTTCTTCACTGGGCACTTACAAGTCAGGGGGCTGCTGCAGCAAGAATATGTGGTCTCTTCTGTGGAGGGGAATCTATTCAGCCAGCATGTATCACAGAGTTTTCAGAGATTTCCTCCCATCTTTCAAAGGACAGAATCTAACTCAGGAGAGGTTCAAACAGTCAAAGTTCAAAGGGCAGCGGGAGGAGAGGCAATTTTCAAAGTTATCTTAGCAAATGGCTTGGCAGATCTGGGAGGCATCCATTTTGAGAGAGAGAGGGCCGAAGAACAGAATTTGAGCCCTGGAACTAAATAAGGCAGAGTGTTAGTGAGAACTGCAGTTTTACTTTTAGACTCTTCCTAAAAATTATTCTTTCTGTTGAAAGGATCTTAAAGTCTTAGTTTCTTTTGGATGTTCTTAAAGGAATTTCAAAAAGCACTATGCAACATAACAAATCATTCCAAACAGTTACCATTTTCTCCAGAGTATTACTGCTTCTATGTGTGTATTAAACAATTTTTCAAGAAACAGGAAAATTTTACAAGCCAAGGAGGTTAGAAGAAACTGGAGAGTGGGATGGACACACGGTTCTTTTTTTACAGTGTAGGGGTTTCTTCGGCTAGAATGTCCAAATACCATGGAAAGATTCGTATTCACCACAGCCATATGAAGAGGGAGATTTCAGCCCTGGGAAAAAAGCTATAGGATCACAAAGCTTTGGTATTTTCTTACTCTCATGCTTTTTTTTTCACTAGTATATCTCTGTATCACTATATCTCTCTATATTTTTGCTGCCTTAGAATGCTCTAGAGAGACGGAAGAATTCCAAGAGTCACAGTAGATCCAGTAGCAGTGCTCTGACTGGAGTCCTTTCTGCAAAACAAGGTATTACCTAGATGTCACGTGAGTGCACAGAACTTCTTTTATATTTCAGGATCAGCTAAGTTACATTTTCCCTAATTATCTTGTGCATTAATTTTCTCTAACCTCTCTCTTGCCAGTTGTACCCCAAAGTCCCTTTCCAATCTATCGAGAATAAAACTGCTGAAATGATTTTCTGAGTTTTTTTTCATCTAATCATGAATTTTCCTCCTACGTCTCTCTACTACTTTGGCTTCTTCCTTTCAAAAAGCCCTATATAACTTTGATCCAGATGAGTTTCTTTAGGAATTATGACTTGCTTAGCTGGCAGACCCAGCCAGGACTCCCTATTTCAGCAGTAGTGTGGAGAATGCAGAGAGAAGGTGGGGCAATGGCAGTTAAGTTCAAGATCCACTCCTGCTCTTGGGAGCTTCTGCATAATAAGCCCCTTCCTACAGAAGAGAAACAGAGCTGTTTCCCCCAGGAGGAAAGAAGCAAAACCAGCCCTTAGTTACCCTTTGAAACACAGTACGGATCAAAAAGGAAAAGTATAATGAGAAAAAAGCATTATTTTTTTGGATGCTAGTATTAGTACTTTTTAGAGCGTGATTATACTCCTTCCCCTCCTCTGTCCAAGCACACACAGGTATGTGTGTGAACACAAAAGTGCATTCCAGATGTAGTCTTGTTTACTTATATAGCCACACAAGATAAGCAAACTGAAGATGCCAGGAGGCTTGTCGATGTGGCTAGTGAAATGCAAGGTACAGTCTCTCTAAACTTGTGTGTGACAGCATTTTACATTGGTCTCAAACAACCATAAGGAATCAATAATTTTAAACATAAAATGTAAGCTTCCTTATTTCCATTTTCTTTTTCATTTAAAATGGAGAAAATACTTCATTTTTGCCAGTGTTAAGAGAACAAGTGCCCAAATGGCAGAGAAGAATTAGGTATCTTTCCTCCTGGAAAGAGACTTACTTGCCAAAAAAAAAATTAGCTAAGCAGAAAATAAGTCCATCTGTGATTGTCCAGTCAACTGCTGTCAGAAACTGATCAGCTCAAACAGAAATGGGTTTTTTGACAGTTGAATATTGTCTGCATGAATTATTAAAATAAACCTACCCCCAGTTAAGTAATAAAATAAAACTAAAACTCACTTCTCTTTGTAACCTTTTAGTTCAGGAATTGTTATCGGAGGATCATGGATGTAGTCTGCCAGCCACACCCCAGTCCATTTCAGACCTCAAGTCTTTGGCCACTGCCCTGCTGGAAACCATCCATGAGAAAAACATGGTCATACAACACCAAAGACAAACCAACAAGTAGGTGATAGAACTTGGAAGCAAGGAGAAAACAAGACTGATTTTTTTTAATTGTTTAATATTAGAGTTTTTATACTGAAGAAGGAAGGAAAAGATGGTCAAATGTCCTGTCTCTATCTTCAGTGAAACTTCTGTCTTGCTGTGAGTAGGTACTCTACTCTGTTAAGGGGATTTAGGGCCTGCCAGCCATATTTTGTGACTGAGCCCTTTAGGAATAGATGTTTGGGTTTGGTAGAGAGGATTATCACACCCACCTGGGAAAGGGTTAGGGATTGCCTGAGCATCTCTCAATTCCTACAAATATTTGCAAAGACTATTTGAAGAGGGAAGCTCTAGGAAACTGGAAGCTGTGGCAGGCTCTGGAGCAGAGATTCCCAGGCTAGTAGGACTAAGAAATTGCTGCCAGGAGCAAGGAGGCTCTAGTGAGGAAGCCTCTTGGTCTGGGGAAAGGTAGCCAGTTTTATGTTGAGGTCTGCTAAAGATTACTGTTGGTAATCATCTAGTGGTGTTCTGAAAAAGAAAGAGCCTGAGAAGATTCTGGATGTAGTAGTGTTTAATCTTACCTAGACTGAGATAAGGCAACCCCATACTGTCCCAAATGTGTGGCTTGGACACATCCAGGAAAGTTCTTAATGTAGCAGCTTGACTGTAGGCTTTAGGATGCATACATTTTCAGTTCTTAACAGTACTGTGCGAGTTTTAATAATCTGTTTTATGAATTCATAGATTCTTCATGCTGAAAGTTACTCTTAAGTACCCAGCTAATCGGTAATAATCTAGCTATTTCACACACTCTGGGGTTTCCTTAGTACCCAGCATGATGGCATATAGCTGTCCTTTGATGCAACTTGACAGTGACTGCCTTTATGTATTGTGAAAGTGGGATTCTAGAAGGAAAGTGTTCTATGAATGTGTTCAGCATTATTGAATCACTGCGGGTAATCAGAGGTAATTCAGCCTTTTATTAAAGGCACATTAGAACCAGATACCAGAAGCAGACAGTCTTCTTTCAGGGAAGGAAGTAGTACTGAAGGAAATTGGATGACACTAGAATAGAAGATTTACTTCAAAAATTGATACTTCTAATACAAAGCAACTTCTTATAGAAATGGCAACAGAATTGGGGGAACAGTTGCATGCTTTGGCTAAACAAGAATCTGGTTAGCCAAAGGGAGGCTAATGTGTCATCAGCATTGTGGAGAGGATCTTAGGAGAAATGAAGGGACCCCTCTTTAAGGACCCTATCAACATTTGTCATTCTGCAGTAATCTGTGTATTATTTCAAAATACTCTGTCAATACACAACCGTTCTAATTAATCTGTTCTGGCCTGTAATGTAACATGTATCTATGCAGACATTTAGGGTATAGAGAGATACAATAATAGTATCAGTGTGAACAGATACTGCTGTAAGCCTAAGTGGATCCAGGATTTTGAAAAGGGAATGCAGGAATAGTGACCGTCACTGCATGGGTGGCTTTAGTCCCTGCTCCCAGCCCCTCCCCCTTTCCCCAATTGGGGAAGGCAGACCATGCTGTGGAGCAGCAGCCAGGGACTTCTTAAGTCCCCTGTGGCAGGGTGGGGTCAAGTGACACAGTAGTGCCCTCTTTTGGTGTCCCTGCCCTCTCAGGTTGCTTGGGCCCTTCTCTCTTGTTTACCTGCCATGCCTTGATGTTGTTTGGGAAAACAATTGGGAGGTTCCTAGGCTGCTCCCTATTGATGTCTTTGGGGACCCAGTACCTTAATGGTTGTATTTGTGGCCTCTGACCTCCCTGTCTCCCATGCCTTGCAAGTGTTACCAGTCATTAGCACAACTGACCTATTTGCCCCACTCAATACTTGGCCTTTCAGGCCGCAGCATCTTTGTAGGCCTCTGCCTCAGCCTTTCTGGTCTTGGCTCCTTTTATCTATCTGGGTTCTTTTACCTTCAGTTTGCTGTTTGGAGCCTCAACTTCTGGGCCCAGCTCTCAAGGCCCCTGCTGTATACAGCCCTAACAGAGCTCATGCCCTGTTTTCTTCTGACCACTAGCAAGGGCTCAAAGGTCCATGTGCCCTTCAAGGCACCCCACCTGCAGCCTCCTCTTCCCCCTTTTGCAACCACATCCAGTCCTCCTGTTAAGCTTAAACAAAAAATTATAGAATGATAGAATCAAAGGACTGGAAGGGACCTACAAGATCATCAAGTCTGATCCCTTGCCATGGGCAGGGAGTTACTGGGCTCAAACAAGCTCAACAAGGTACTTATTCAGCCTCATCTTGAACACATCTAAGGATGGCAACTGTACCACCTCTGTGGGGAGTGTGTTTCAGATTCTGGTAATGCTTACAGAAAAAAAGTTCTCTCTTATGTCAGCCTAAATTTTCCCTCAGTTAGCTTGTGCCCATTGGTCCTCGTCCTCCCTTGAGATGCCTTCCTGAAGAGTTGCTACCCTAGATCTTGATGCTCATCCTTGACGTACTTGTAGGCAGCTATGAAGTCACCTCTCAGTCTTCTCTTACTCAGACTAAGCAAGCTCAGTTCCTGGAGTCTTTCCTCATAGGGCCTATCGTCCAGGCCCCTTCTTGAGCTTATCCACGTCCTACCTGATGTGTGGCGTCCAGAACTGGACACAGTACTCCAGCTGTGGTCTCACCAATGCTGAATAGAGAGGGAGGAGCACTTCCCTGGATCTTTTGGCAACACATTGGCTGATGCACGCCAAAGTTTTATGTGCCCCGATGGCAACCTCATCACACTGTTGACTCACGTTCATCTTCCAGTCGATTGTGACCCCCTCCCATTCAGATGCTGTCGGCCAGTGTACCACCACCTACCATGTAGTTATGGTGAAGTTCTTCCTACCCAGGTGAGTTCTTCCTACGCATGGCTCACCAAAAGCATCCAGGAATGTCTCAAAGCCAAAAAGGAGGCGTAGACCCAGTGGAAGTGACGGGTCATCACCAAGGAGGATTATACCTCCATTGCTCAAGACTGCATGGGGGGCTGTTAGGAAGGCTAAGGTGGAAATGGAACTGGGACTACTGACCCAAATCAAGGATAACAAGAAGTCCTTTTTTAAATACATAGCAGGTAAAAAGAAGGTACCAGGTAACGTAAGGCCTATGCAGGATACCCAAAGAAATCTAGTGGTCACACCAGATGACAAAGCTAACCTCTTTAACAATTTATTTGCCTCCATCTTTTTGAGCAGGGACTGGGGCATCCCCTCTACTGGGATCCAACAGACCCAGGGCTGCCAGGCCCAGGGTCAGTGAGGAACTAGTCACGGAACTTCTGGTGGGACTAGATGTGTTCAAATCAGCAGGTCCTGACGATCTCCACCCCAGAGAGCTGAGGAAATTAGCAGAGATCATTGCAGGACTCCTGGCACAGCTTTACGAGAACTCGTGGTGCTCTGGCGAGGTGCCAGAAGACTGGAAAAGGGCCAACGTGGTCCCCATTTTCAAAAAAGGGAGGAAGGAGGACCCAGGAAACTACAGGCCCGTTAGTCTTACCTCCGTCCCAAAAAAGCTTTGAGAAAATTATCCAGGAGCACATCAGCGAGGGACCAGCAGGGGGGGGTCATGCTTAGGGGCAACCAACATGGGTTCATTCGAGGCAGGTCCTGTAAAACCAACTTGGTGGCCTTCTATGACCAGGTCACAAAATCCTTGCACGCAGATGCCGTGGTGGATGTAGTCTTTCTGGACTTTAGCAAGGCCTTTAACACCGTCTCTCACCCCAGCTTCTTAATTCTTATTAAGAAAC